ACGAGAACTAGATCACGTTAAGTAAACCAATATATAAAACCCACAAGAATATATAACAAGTTGTGTTGTTTATGCTCCTGACGTCACACCCTTGAGAGATAAATCTACCGATATATTCAGGGAAATATACAATCATACATAGAAAAATTAAAACACAACTAACCGATCAAGAGAAGTAATAAACAATATATATAGGAAATATGTAGGTAAAATAAATAGAATAATTAGAGTAAGAATCAGAGGAGGTAAGAAGGCGGATGAATACGAAGCAACAGAGTAACACATAATAAACAATAACCTTTATTATTTTGGCTGAGTTAGTCAGTTATATAGTTAACAATAGATTATTTTCAATAGGATGTGTGTGTGTGTGTGTGTGTGTGTGTGTGTGTGTGTTTGTGTTATAACATACGATAGTGAGTGGGTGACTGATCAAGCGGGGTGTACATGTGATTGTAAGAGTACACAAAGAATGGGCGTGTAGTACGTGAACATACAGTGAGATATGTACGTACGGTGTTATATACACGAGTAACTCTGTAATAATATGATTTGCTCTCATTCTAGATGTCTTGCGTACATGTGTGCATGTTTATCTCATGTATGTGTTTAACTGAGCATATGATGGCCCTGTGTCATTCATTTACGAGTCCTCAACAATCTCCCCTCACCAACCTCTTCTCCTCCCAACACCGGAAATATGAGTTAGCCATAATGTTTCTTCCTGACCCTTGTGACAAAACGTTGACCTGGTTGGTGGTGATGGTGGAAGGTTGTAGTCCACTTCTATACAGTATAAACTAAACTCTCAGCCTCGGCCCTCAAGTTGTCCCCTTTTAGCAGCGGAACTGAGTGACAGAAAGCGCTTTCCTGGTCCTTGTACCACAACTTTGACCCGGTTGGTAGTGTGGAGGGTGGTGGGCCACAAATTTGACCTGGATGGTGGTGTTGGTGGGGTTTTGGTCCACATGCAGGCTGGGCGTGTGCTGGGCGTGGCTGGGGGGCGCCTTCACAGCTCCACTTGCATCGTCGAGAGTCGAAATCTGGATCATTGATGCTCACGGGACTTCCTGCCAGCACACTTTCCACCGCCACATCTCCCTCTCGCTGTTCCATATATTTCCTCGGGTGACCTCTTGTTCCCTCGAATCGTCGAAACCAGAGCAGAGAAAGTGAGTGTGAGTGAAGGTGTGGTCGGTGTGCCACTTTCACTCTCCAGTCTAGCTCCGTTGGCTTACTTCGAACCGTCGAGGCTCACACGCTGCTCATTCTGGCTCTCTCATGTGCCACTTTCCTGGCCGGAGTGTCACTATCTCCTCGGCACTTCCTCCTCCCTGGCACCGGCACCCTCGACGGCCCTCTCCTTCACCTACTTCTACCTGGTGGGAAACGACACTTCTCTTGACCCATAGCACTAGTCCCGTCACCTCCTCGCTCACATCTCCACCAGGAACACCGTAGAGCTTACTATGTCACGCCCTCAACTCACTTGGTCGAGGACGAGGCCAGGGACACCATTCATCTTATTATATTAATGTTGAAATAGTGTCTATAGCCAACTCATCCTAAGTCTGACTTCCAGGGCCCCGAGCAGGAGCCTCAACCTACTTGTGTCTTAAAAAGTTGTGAGGTCTGGACGCAACACTGTTTGACACGGTATTCACTCTGAACATTGACCACTATGAAGGTATTGGTGATGAAACTTTGACTGTGGTTATATCCGTGACCCGGGAGGATGCTTATCAAACCTACGACATACAATAAACAAATAATGATAGTCTAATCTTAAAGACTATCCATGAATATATGAATTAAATTTCTATGTTCATTCTGTAATTCAAGAGTTCATTAAAAATTTTGAACTGAAGATTAAACTGTCTGTAGTATTTTGTATTTTCTTTCCCGGTTTAAAAGGACGCTAGGCTATAGATCAATTCATCCGTGATAATGATTGTTTACGAAAAAATAATTATATGCATCAAATATCAATGAAAAAATAACTTCGATGTCCATGAATGAGGCGAATTAGCTTCCTATACTCAACCAGTGTTCTTTACCGAGGTCTTATTTGTCGTATCTTATCACTTATATTCAATAAATTACTTCCCTTAAGTCTACACAATACATCCTAGATCAGTTTCAGAATTATTTAATTTACTTAAACTGTGTCACCTGTTCTGGGATAGTAAAAATGTGCTTTTGGCGAATCAGATAAATAAATTAGGTTAGTTATACCTAAGCCTTCTACAGTTGCCGCCCGTGATATAATTTTACTTTAGTTTGTCCTCGACAAATAGACGCGTTTTCTTTTACTTACGTGATTAAACCCATTTTCTATGTTTGGAAAGCTTCGAAATCCTTATGGGTCGTTTCACGGATCAAACAATAATGTATTTAATGCTATTTTGTGTAAATTTCACGTTAAAGATAAAATATGGAAAATAAGAGTAATTGTGACGATAATCTCTTAGAGTGAGCTCTCTAAACGACTGGATATACGAGTAACTCCATCGTCCTAAATATTGTACACGGAATCTAAGTAAGAATGTCGAAATTTTAAACGGAATTCACGACATATAAAACCAACTTCATATCTGTGTCAATAAAATACTCCTCAGAGCATTGTAGAAAGCCTATGAACCGAGCTGGTGTTTGGTGGAAGAATTCAACCACTTTCTAAACCTTTCACTAAGCTTCATAACACGGAAGTTCCAAGTAAACCTTCACATCAAGTCTTTTAACTGAAGAAGCGATGTGGGCCAGGCTGCTGTACCTGTCAATCATTCCTGAAATATTCTATAATAATATCTAGAGTTATCTGATATTCGGGAAAGATATTTATTAATGAAAGTCACAAGTAAAGGTGTATCTTCAAAACTTATTTAAAACTAGTATATAGAAACTTGATTAACTTTATGAGATATGGCGAACAATATTCTACGCGTTTTGAAATAATAATAATAAGTGACTGGCGAAAAGAAATTACTGCATTACGCCATTTTCATTTTATGTGGCCGCTTCCAAGTTCGAAACAATGGACTTCCTATGATATATAAACTGGACTGTACTTTGGATAAATTTCAGCATTATTAAATCACTATACTGTACACGTGAACAATCATTGATAATAGCTTTGAAGACGAGATTTATCGAGGGTTTTCTAGAGGTGAAAGAATCCTTCCTCCCCCTTGGCTGAAAATGGATGAGTCCAGGGGAAAGTTGTGGAGCCGAGAGCCTGGATCTCGCGTTCAGGAGTACACACTGTAAGTTACCCCCAGCAACTACACTTATTTTAGCATTGGTTTAATTTGAATTTATACACATTTAAACATTTAACGATAGCAAAACATAAAGTAAGGTTTATTAACTTCACTTATTACAGAACGCAACAGACTCAAAAGTTCACGTGGGGATTATTCCTCGTGACTGATGATATAAAAATTTACTAAACTGATGATACAATAATAACGTCCCAAACATACATTACTAAGGGACAGAAATGACCTATATAAACTGGAATATATTTTGTAAGTTTATATATTTCCTAAATGACGAAGAATAATATAAATAAGGGAATCTTGGTGGAATTCAGATATAAAATTTAACACCTCGACTTAAATCAACCACTGAGGTGCATCTTACACATTTATATACAAGAAAGAAACATTCACCGTTCGAGACTCTGAGAATCTGGCCCCAGTGTGTGACATAACCAGTGGTATCAGCCTCAGACTTTCTCACAATGCTACGTATACTTATTGATATAATTCTCGGGTGCGTCTAAACTCTAATCAATTATGTAAAACTGGGAAGTGTTAAATTTATATTATTATTTACATGAGTTTAGTTTATATGGAGTAATAGGGCCAACATAAGGTATATATACTCGCTGAAAAAACCTTATTCGCTGAAGCCCAATACGACATTAGAACACCAGCATTATGTCCATACGTGTTTATGCCTTGATATCAACCTCAGTAACGTATATACACACAGGTGAGCGACACAGGTAAGCGGCACAGGTGAGTAACACAGGTGAGCGGCACAGGTGAGTAACACAGGTGAGCGGCACAGGTGAGTAACACAGGTGAGCGGCACAGGTGAACACTGATCATCGAGGTCATTCAGGTGGTGTGTGCAGGGGTGTACAGTTACAATACTCAGGTATTTTGGCGGCCATGACAACAACAATACAGCAAAACCTCTATTTAACGGACTATATGGAGAGGAAAGTCCGTTATATCGAGGGACCGTGAGATGTAAAAACCTCCCTCTAACGAAGTATAGATATATGAAGGTCCGATATATCGAGGGTCCATTAGATATGAGACACCCCATCTAACGGATTATATGGATATAGAAGTCCGTTATATGGAGGTTTTACTGTATCTAAAGGGTTACATACTTAAAATAATATATTAGAACTCCCATTTACTTAGATTAGGGAGATTGACGTCATTTAATTACTTACATTATTTACAAGAGTCGTAATTCTACTTATTTACTTGCGTGGTAATAAGTAATAATAAATAGGCGGGTCAATGACAGTGCTACACCCTAACATAACATAACGAAACACTAACCAACATGTTTAGAGAAATAACAGTGTGAACAATGGTAACTAATAGTGAATGCAGAATAACATAACATTAAAATTAAAAATCTTTATTGAAAATCATACGCTGTCCGGCCAAATGTCTAGTGATATTCCGTAAAAAATATATGTAGATATTTTCAGTGTGGTTAAACATGTTAATGACTGAGTAGATCGTTCATCACTACAGAAGCGGAGGCCATTTTGTCATGAGTAGAAAGTCAGCCATCACAAATTCGTTTCCCTGTATTTGTACCCAAAATCAATAGCGACAAATATATACACTGTTTCTAAATCCCTATCGCTCAGCAACACAACAATTACTTTGTATATTTTAGTACTTTGCCAAACTTTTGAGCTATCATTAATACTTACCTTTCTCCCCTTGCCTAGATAGTGGACTCACCCGGATAATCCCATGAACTTTCACTCCTGGAGGAAGAGAAGAGAGGGTGTGATAACAAGTACTCTCTCCACACTAATGAATCTCTAATTACGTTATAGATACACAAATCAATAACCAATCTTACTGATCACAAACATAATTAAAGTCATCCAACACAACACACTCAGAGGACACACCCCATCCAGGGTTCACTCAACCCTTCACACACTCAGCCAAATTTTCCCGCGCTTTTTATACTCTCGTATGTAAATTAGATACGTCAGCTGGCGGGGACACCCAGGGCGGACCTTTAACCCAGGACTGGTAAGTGGGATAACACTATTGTGGCTGTGATGAACCAGAGGGGCGGAAATTTGCAATAGACTTTGATCGAATACACATACAAGTCTTTGTTAGGATCACCTGAAGAGCCGCCACCCCAGTAATAACCTCCACTAATTATGCCGACACAAAATATCAATCACTTTTACGCGAACAAAATATTGAACGTAATTTGTGTCTCTCTATATTGATGGTCTCAACCCAGGCCTCCCCCGTGCTGCACACAATGGCCTCACCCGGCACTGTCTCCCAGCCCAGCTTCTGATTGGTTAGTATGGCGCCAGTCACCCAGAGATTTAAAACATATACACACCTGAAGTATCAAGTATATTGGGGAAAATAAAGGTGTATGATTAATCGTGTGTATTATCAACACACACACACACACACACAATAAACGCCCCCACATATATGCCCCCCAAAAAAGCTATATAAATGACCACACACACACTCACGTAACAGCTTATCTTGTGTGCGTTTTTTGGGGGAGGAGAGGGGTGGGGGATGGTGCCCTTTGTTAGTGTAAGCCCTCAAACAAAAGCCAGTATTCTGAAACTACTCATTAACCGTATATAAAAGCATAAAATTCAGAATTCCCAAACTGCGCAGCCCATTATCGGAATCGTATATTAAACTGTAAACTCACGTAACATAGTACTTTCACCCCACCCCCCTTGTGTTAGTGTCACCAACCACAATCACCAGGCAGGTAAGTACGGTCACCAACCACTACCTCCAAGCCACAATGGTTCTAACAGAAATAACCAACTCCCACCATCAAATAACAACGGTTCTAACTGTCGTCACCAGGCAAACAACGGTTCTAACTGTCGTCACCAGGCAAACAACGGTTCTAACTGTCGTCACCAGGCAAACAACAGTTCTAACTGTCGTCACCAGGCAAACAACGGTTCTAACTGTCGTCACCAGGCAAACAACGGTTCTAACTGTCGTCACCAGGCAAACAACGGTTCTAACTGTCGCCACCAGGCAAACAACGCTTCTAACTGTCGTCACCAGGCAAACAACGTCACAACGGTCATATAACCACCATAGCGTCACCAATCTGCTTCTCTTTCACCAGCCACGTGTGTCACCAAGCCTGGCCACGCGCCCTATACCAGCCCCTGTCCTCCTGCCTATTGTCCTAGGGGATTTTGTCCGGTGGGGTTTTTGTCATGGACCGTCTCCTTACCTACTCCCCCCCCAATGCTCCAATTCTCAAAAGATTAAAATTTCTTCATTAATATCTATTCCCTTTAATGGAGATTAGAGGACAGTATCTACTTATAGTCTCAGTGTAATATCGATGTCATTTTGGTTTCCGTCTTAACCTAAACATATTTAATTTAGGTAGGATGAGGTATGGGTTAGGTCTGACCACGTTAAACCGAAAAAAATATATATATACCTTATTTTCACATGCATGCAGGCAGTACATACTTACATACATCATATAGAAAATAGTGTAAAATATCACAAAGTAGGTCTGTGTCCAAATTGCTAGAGAGATTATTTTTATACTAATTGACACAGAAAAGAGAGAGAGAACATGTTGGAGGACCCGTAGGACTCGTAGGACCTGTAGGACCCTCACTGGGGATGAACAGTGCGACCATCTAGAAGCGCGCCACCCATTCACTCGCTCTCTTTCTGGGGAGCTAGTAAGCGTGGGAAGGTACACAGCCCATACACTCTCTCACGGTCACCACCTTTACCAGAGATCTACTATGGATGGTCGTAAAGAAATGCAATTTGTTTGACGCCTTCGTAAAGCTCTCGGTGTTAGGTAGTGGAGGTGTATTGTAACCCCAGGATGAAAGTAACATGTCAATAACACCGATGTCCAAGTTGAGTAACTTCAGTTGTTTGGTTAGTGAATTAGAATATACCAGTAAGGCAATTAGTAAGTATATACATAGGTTATGTAACTTAGTCTAAATCTAATAACTTAGGAATACGTTATTTTTAACTGGAATTATTGGGACACACACACACGTAAGAGGGAAGGGGTGATGACACCATGTGAGGTGATGACACTTCTCTCTCCCTCTCTCTTATTTCACGGTTGCATGCCGAGACTTTGTCGGGTGCCTGCCTTCTTTCCTCCCCTCCTGGATAGTGGACTCACCAATCAGGCCCTCACTAGGTGTACCTGTAGTCAGGTGTTGCCGACTGGCCTGGCCGGCCACTGGTCAGTCTGCTGCTGCCTGTCGTACACCCCTGACGTGGACACTACCTGCACGGTAGCATAATTCGCGAGCATACACACACACACACACTCTCTCTTGTTTTGGATTATTATATTACGTGAACAGAAACAACTTCAACCTTACATATAATATTAATAACTTTTCTGCACAACTTAGGCCTATATCTTGTGCCAACTTTCCCACAAACCTTCTAAAAATGTATCAACTCATGAACTGTCACAAGTTGTAGTGAAGAAGTTCATAGTGTGTGAGCACATGATCGTCCCCCACCACAGCCCTCACTAATACGCTATCTTGAGGTGTGGCACTACACTACACCACACCTCCCCACGCTACACCACGTTACACACCCCCACACTACACCACGCCACACCTTACACCCCGAGACAAGATGTTCTTCACAAGTTAGAGACTCAACCAAAGTTCCACTGGTGGTCGAACAGTTAGCCTGGGAAGATATAAGCAGCAAGAGAGATATAATTTTTTAGTTCCAGAACAAAATTACAATGACTTGAGAGAGACTGAGGTGTTGAAGAGACTGCTAGCCTTATATACCTATTGTTTCTGTTGGAGTATATCATGTTGGTACAGACAGTGATTGTTGAAAGACAGCCGTGTCGTCCTCATCTGGCCAGGCAGTAGCAGGAGCCGCAGCTGGGGAAGGACCGTGGACACTCGCCTCTTTCCCACGGTGTCCGGCACCTCCTCAACAGTGCACCCTGACCAGGTCCTAAGCTGGATAATACTCGGGGTAATGTATACTGCAAAAAATATCGCAAATGCAGACTGGACAATAGTGGACATACTTGGCCCTTCACAAGAACATGGCCACCCCTGCTACAGCCCACCTGCACCAACACCCTCCCTCCCCCCACACCACCCATTCACCCCCACCTGTACCCTGGGACCCCTCACTGACCACCGGCTACCGTGCCAGACACTTGTCGACCATTGGTCACCCAGACGGCTAGATGCTCGACTGACCAATGGTAGCTGTTGTGATGACCACTGGTGGTGTCCTGTACTGTGTGAAGTGACCCAACCCTCACCCACTCGCTGGTGACGCCCCTTGTGCTGAGGTCTTTTGTGACCTTATCTTGCTATCATACGTGTAGGACTTGTCATATTATTCATTTGGTCATTTGCCTGATTCCACTCCTCTCGGTGACAGCCAGGAGTAGACTGACCACTTGACCTGGTTGATCAGACGAGTCCATTATCCAGGAGGGGAGGACGACACCCAGGTGAGAGTGTGGTTTGAAGGTAAACACAATAATGAATGAACACATTCTGTATCACGTCATGTCTCTACACACACGACGGTTTAAATTTCCGGGGGGTAGAAATAATCAGAAATAAGAAATTCAAAATCATCTTCATTCAAAAAGAAAAAAATCGTTTAAAAACAAATAAAGAAAAGTGAACAAAAATGAGAAGAAACCAATACTTTAATGGTTAGTTCTGCTTTACCTGAAGATGTGAATAATTATCATAGGGTTACCTGCCCAGGTCATAACACCTCGTCACGCCACTGTGTTCCTGGTATTCTTAGTTTTATTTTTGTGTTACTCTCTATTACCTAATGACTGTCTACCATCTTCCCCTCCCGGATAGTGGACTCACCCGGGTTGACCCTCCCCTGGTGATGGTCAAGTCCGACTGGCCGCTGGAGTGGACACTGGTCAGTCTAATGCTGACTGCTGGCGAGTATAGTGTGTGTGTGTGTTGATGGGATTGTGTACATGTGAGTATGTGTGTTGATGGGATTGTGTACGTGTGAGTGTGTGTGTTGATGGGATTGTGTACATGTGAGTGTGTGTTGAAGGTGGTTTTGTGTACATGTGTGTGTGTGTTGAATGTGGTTTTGTGTACATGTGTGTGTGTGTGTTGAATGTGGTTTTGTGTACATGTGTGTGTGTGTTGAATGTGGTTTTGTGTACATGTGTGTCATCAGAGAAACAAAACATTATGGGACACTATCTACACACACAACATTATCTCTAGATAACATAAAAGAGACTATCTACATTATCGTAATCAACAAACATGTATTTTGGCCCAGTACGGTATCTATATCTTGTGGCCGATTATAATGTTACCTGGACTGGCGGCTGTGTACCTCCCTGCCTCCCCTCCTGTGTAATGGATTCGTCCGGTCACTTCCCTGGTGGTGATGGTCAGTAAGAATGTCTGGTGGTCTGCTCTGCCTGTGGAGGCTGTGGTCAGTTTAAGGTTGGCTGACCACTGGGCAGTAAGGTGTCCGTCGCTTCTCCGGTGGTCAATGGCTACTGCAAGAGAAGCTTCCCATTGGTCACCGTGGGAGTGTTGGACATGTTGTTCGCAAGAGTCCGAGGATGGCCAGTGAGTCTCAATGGTTGCAGGTGGAGATGTAGGGAGAGACTGGTGGGTGCAGGTGGCCCGGTAGGTCCACATATATTCACCATTGTCCATTCTACTTGAACGACTTCTATACATTTTCTTACACCGGGCAGTGGGAACAAGAGCCTCGTGAGAGTGACCAGTGTTCAGGTATCAACTGCGACACTAAAAGAGGTCACATGATCCACGAAGAAGTTTGTTAAAAATGTTAATAATACTTGGAACTGTTTAAGATAAATTGATTAGAGATGATTGATATAATAATGTAATCTTCGAAGGAATACTTAATTAATGAAGGAAACATTTGTAAGCAATAATTCCAATCACTCTGTTGAGAAAGTGCGGCGCGAGGCGTTAATGTTCACTAAGAGAAGGTCACAAGGAAGCCCATATTACCTGTACACACGACCACCACAATACAGGTAAAATGTGGAATAATTCTTCCACACACAACAAAACACCTGACACTATATGACAGGTCTTGTAAGTCTAAGTTAATATTATGTTGTGTACACACGTTATCTTGTGTCCGTCAACATGTTATCTGGGCTGGCGGCTGTGTACCTTCCTGCCTCCCCTCCTGTGTGATGGACTCGTCCGGTCAGTTCCGTGGAGCTGCTGGTGTACTACAGCTGACCAGTGGCCAGCAGGAGTCCAGTGGGCTGCCCTGTGGTCAGAGTAGGGCAAGCTGGCCGCTGGTCAGGTTGTGAGATCGTCTCGGGGTGTCTAGTGGTCAGCTGGTCAGAGGACAGGGTAGGGTTGCCTCCTCATTGGTCTACCAAGAGTATCGGGTGTACTTCCCATTGGACAGGTTGTTAGGAAGGGTCAAGGGTTTGCCCGGCAGGTTGAATAGATGCCAAGGGGGAGGGTCAGGAGGGGGGCGGGGGATGCTGGTGGGAACACCTGGTGTAAGGAGAGGGATGACCGGCATGACGCTGATAAATTCAGATTCAATCTGGATTGAACACACCAACATTTTCTCAACAGTTATTTCCATAGATATATCAACAACAAAACAGATCTGTGGAGCACAGTTATCTTTTAAAAAAATAATAAAATAAGTTTATACAACTTTATTTTGTAAGTAAATTTTCGAATGTTATTTTTTTCCATTTTAATAAATGACTCATAATGAGGAACAAGATATAATTAATAAATTCAAAAAGTGACATTTAAAAATTTAATAACCCTGAGGACACAGTATTACACCAGGGTTGGGTAAGACAACATCAGGATGGAACAGTGTTGTAAACTATCATAACTCTCAAAGTCCAATAAAAGTTACAAACAACGACAAAACACAACAGTAAATCCCTCCACAACAGATCTTACTCAACTAAGACTAAATTATCAGGATCGGGAGGAGACATCGTGAGTCATGACCTCCGTCAACTGGCGGCTGTGTACCTTCCTGCCTCCCCTCCTGTGTAATGGATTCGTCCGGTCAGTTCCATATTGCTGTTGGTGCCCTCTGGCTGACCAGTGGTCAGTAAGGACGTCCCCTGGACTGCCCATTGGTCAGTTGGCCAGTGTGAGGTTTGCTGGTTATTGGTCAGTCAGCGCGGCCCAGGGGTCAGGTGGTCAAATTCCAGTGCAGGAATCTTTCCTCAATGGTCAATCAGGGAGGGTCGGTGTTGAAAAGGGTCAGTGCATTGCCTGTGTATGAATGAGTGGCTGATGGTCACGAGGAGGACTGTGTGAGAGTATAGAGAGGTGGGGGGGGGGAGGAAGGCTGGCGGACTCAGGTGCTCTACGGTAGGCATGGTAAGGTACACATACCCCCGTATATCCACCATTGTCCAGTCTGCATATACACGTTCTACGTTTTTCTCCGCCGGACTGTGGGAACAAGAGCACTGTGAGAGCAGCAGCGGCCAGTGTCCAAGTATCAACTACTAAACTGAGAGACACATGACCCACGAAGAATAAGACTAGGAAACAAAAACAATAAACGACATATTGTAAATTTACAAAATAATAAATGACAAACTATTCATAAATAATATCCTTGGTCGACATCTTATGAGAACCAATGGTCGTCATCCCTGAAAATTTCACCAAATTAATTGACCGAATCTTCTGATGACTCAACACAACTTCTCCTCTCACTCATCTCCATATTTCTTCTTAACTCACAAGTTATTAAAACAATCTCATAAACTTGGTTTGTTACGAAACTAAATAATTCTTCCTAAAATTTTCGACCAAATTTTCCGGATGGTTTTCAAATGAATATTTAATAATTATGGAAACAATAATATATCGCGAAGATGTTGTTTCCAAGATGAGAAAGTGCGGCTCGAGGCGTCAGTGTTCACTAAGAGAAGGTCACAAGGAAGCCCATATTACCTGTACACACGACCACCACAATACAGGTAAAATATGGAATAATTCTTCCACACACAACAAGACACCTGACACTATATGACAGGTCTTGTTAGTTTAAGTTAATATTATGTTGTGTACACACGTTATCTTGTGTCCGTCAACATGTTATCTGGGCTGGCGGCTGTGTACCTTCCTGCCTCCCCTCCTGTGTGATGGACTCGTCCGGTCAGTTCCGTGGTGCTGCTGGTGTACTACAGCTGACCAATGGCCAGCAGGAGTCCAGTGGGCTGCCCAGTGGTCAGTGTAGGGTAAGCTGACCGCTGGTCAGGCTGTGAGATCGTCTCGGGGTGTCTAGTGGTCAGCTGGTCAGAGGACAGGGTAGAGCTGCCTTCTCATTGGTCTACCAAAAATATCGGGGGTACATCCTATTGGACAGGTTGTTGGTGAGGGTCAAGGGTTTGACCGGCAGGTTGAATAGATGCCGAGGGGGAGGGTCAGGAGGGTGAGAGGGGGGGGATGAGCCGGTGGGAACACCTAGTGTAAGGGAGGGATGACTGGCCTGACAATTACTGATGAGCTCAGGTTAAGTCTGCATTTACTCAACATTTTCTCAACAGTTATTTAATACAAGTCAACAACATTATAGGTATTAAGAGTGTTGTAATATGACTTAAACCAAAGCTGGCATAAGCCTGGTGGTAATCATCCGGTATATCATTCTCAATGAAAAGGTGTTTATCAAAGTGCCCTGTGTTGCAAAGAGTTAACAGGTATAATATTAGTAAGTAACGAGAGGTAAGGTTAGGTCACGGAGTCGTGCTGAGTGTGTGTGCCCAGAGTAAATTGTATCCCCGGTATTGAGAGTAATATTTATTATGATACACAAATATCAGCTTTGTGACGAATTTTTGGAAGGTGTTATAAAGTATTAGTAAAAGTGCTAATGAATTGAAGTGGTGAAGGTTCATTATTTTCGTGTGTCACTCGTAGAATGTTACAGTAAGTTGTAGTATTTTCTAAGGAACATTTATTCTGTTAAATTTAAAGACTAGTTTTTGCCATTCTGGTAGTAGGGCACAAGTGGTCCTTATAATTTGTATCAGTGTTAACGTAAATTTGGCCAAGTCTTGAGTGAACCCCAAGGAGTTGTTCAAGTGTTTTTGTTCTATTGATGTGTTCCTATACTCGACTTCATTGCAATAAATAATCTTAATGTTTTTTGCGATATCATTACCACTACAGTATCCACGTTGTATTCTCCCTCATAATTTGTGCCGGTGAATGCATTAGAACCCCTCGCCACGTTACTACCAACCGAGTGTCATAATTAAAAGGTTAATGTTATGTTAAGAAATGCATTCTGATAAAAAAAAACTGGGTGGTGGCAGCTACCGTGAGTATTGAAGATTGTAAGGTAACAAAGGGGTTCCAAGGTAAACCTAAGATCAGAATATAATTAGATAAGAGAAAAGTAACAGAAAACAGAAAATACTTTGAGAAATTAAATAGAAAATAAAATCAAAACAATTTATAAATGAATAAAGATATATAATAAATAAAATAAATAAAATTATAAAGACATCATCATCCCCCCACTATATGACAGGTCTTGTTAGTCTAAGTTAATATTATGTCATGACAAGTGATGTTGTGTACACACGTTATCTTGTGTCATGTTATCTGGGCTAGCGGCTGTGTACCTTCCTGCCTCCCCTCCTGTGTGATGGACTCGTCCGGTCAGTTCCGTGGTGCTGCTGGTGTACTACAGCTGACCAGTGGCCAGCAGGAGTCCAGTGGGCTGCCCAGTGGTCAGTGTAGGGCAAGCTGGCCGCTGGTCAGGTTGTGAGATCGTCTCGGGGTGTCTAGTGGTCAGCTGGTCAGAGGACAGGGTAGGGTTGCCTCCTCATTGGTCTACCAAGAGTATCGGGTGTACTTCCTATTGGACAGGTTGTTAGGAAGGGTCAAGGGTTTGCCCGGCAGGTTGAATAGATGACGAGAGGGAGGGTCAGTAGGGTGAGGGGGAGCGGGGAGCTTGAGGATTCTGGGGGGTGGGAGAAGCTGAGAGTGGTCCTAGTATAAGAGGGGAGGCCGGCCTGACACTTACTGAGGAGTTCAGGTTAAGTCTAGGTTGTTCTCAACATTTTCTCTTCATTAATTTCATGGATGTATCAACAAGAGTATGGGTCTTAAAAGTGTAGTAATATGACCAATACAAGTTTATACAAGTGCATTTTCTTTGTAAATTTTCAAATTTGATTTTGTTGGCACTTTAATAAATGGCTCATTATTAGAAACAAGGAATAATTAACAATTTGTTAAATTGAAAGTTCAATATTAACTAATCCTGAGGACACAGTATTACACCAGGGTTGGGTAAGACAACATCAGGATGGAACAGTGTTGTAAACTATCATCACTCTCAAAGTCCAATAAAAGTTACAAACAACGACAAAACACAACAGTAAATCCCTCCACAACAGATCTTACTCAACTAAGACTAAATTATCAGGATCGGGAGGAGACATCGTGAGTCATGACCTCCGTCAACTGGCGGCTGTGTACCTTCCTGCCTCCCCTCCTGTGTAATGGATTCGTCCGGTCAGTTCCATATTGCTGTTGGTGCCCTCTGGCTGACCAGTGGTCAATAAGAACGTTCCCTGGACTGCCCATTGGTCAGTTGGCCAGTGTGAGGTTTTGCTGGTTATTGGTCAGACAGCGCGGCCCAGGGGTCAGGTGGTCAAATTCCAGTGCAGGAATCTTTCCTCAATGGTCAATCAGGGAGGGTCGGTGTTGAAAAGGGTCAGTGCATTGCCTGTGTATGAATGAGTGGCTGATGCGAGGAGGACTGTGTGAGAGTATGGAGAGGGTGGGAGGGGGGAGGAAGGCTGGCGGACGCAGGTGCTCTACGGTAGGCATGGTAAGGTACACATACCCCCGTATATCCACCATTGTCCAGTCTGCATATACACGTTCTACGTTTTTCTCCGCCGGACTGTGGGAACAAGAGCACTGTGAGAGCAGCAGCGGCCAGTGTCCAAGTATCAACTACTAAACTGAGAGACACATGACCCACGAAGAATAAGACTAGGAAACAAAAACAATAAACGACATATTGTAAATTTACAAAATAATAAATGACAAACTATTCATAAATAATATCCTTGGTCGACATCTTATGAGAACCAATGGTCGTCATCCCTGAAAATTTAACCAAATTAATTGACCGAATCTTCTGATGACTCAACACAACTTCTCCTCTCACTCATCTC